CCCATTCATGAGAGCAGAGCCCCATTTCCCAGAAGCCCTACCATTATATTGGGGATTAGGTTTCGACATATGAATTCTGGAGAGATATAAACATTCAGTCTATGGGGCCCTATAAACAAACAAACAAAAAAATTTGTAGGGTCCTCTGTAATTTTTCAAGTGTAAAAGTGTTCTGAAACCAAAAGTTTGAGAACCTCTAACCCTTTTCCATAAACAACCTCACTTACAAAGTATTCCTAGTTCACCTCTACCCACCTCTGCCTTCAACACCAAAATAGCCCTCATTCTTTAATTGGTAGTGGGAACCATTATTAAAAGAGACTGGAAGAGAGAGCCTATGGATAGTACTGTCATTTGTCTTCCAGCGTATAGCTCTTATTTTTCATGAACCACTGATATCGATTCCTATGTAGCCCTAGCCAATAAACACTTAAAACTTCTATGTGGGTAACGATACTCCTGACATTTTGGCCATAGAGATACTGCTTGAAACCATATATGTCTTTCCCAAAGTCTAGCCTAAATGCATGGATGCTACATATGCTACATAGAGATTATGGGGAAGGTAAAGAAGTTCTATTATTATCTATTCTCCAGTTACAAAAGGAGATAATATACTGTAAATTACAGAAGAGAATATGCTAAGAGAACCACATTTAATTTCAAGAAAGGTACTCTCCAGGAGAACAAAAGAGAGCGTTGCAAGTGCCATTGGTGAAGTGGGTTTGTGGTAAAAGATTCTTTGCTCCTTGAGCTGGTGTCCAGGATAGTGCATCCCAATCTCTTGTGAGGATCCTTTTTTTGGTGCCCTCTAACAAAATTGCTCTCACTAAAGTTACCAGTGGCCTCCTAATGACTAAAATCAATGGTCTAGTTTTAGACTTCTTACCACTTAATCTTTCTTCAACAGTTATAATAGCTGAGCAAACTTTTGTTTTGTGAAAACTTTTTCTCTCATTTCCATGTGATTATTCTCTAAAGCATTTTCTTTTTATTGTTCTATTATTCCTTTGTAGTTTCCTTAACAGAATATCTGGCCCTTTTTATAAACTAACAGAACCGCCAAACATTTGTGTCTTTCTGGGCTGGGGTCTATTTTGGGTCCTTTTCTCTTTTCCCTGAGCTACCTCATTCATAGTCTTCTACCACACGCAAGCCGTAATAACTCTCACGTCTCTCTCCAGATCAATGTTTCTAACTGAAGACTAGATATCTTTGCCTGGATGCCCTGCAGGCATCTCAAACTTAAAATGCCAAAAGCTTATCTTCCCCTCCACCTCCTCCAAAACCTACTCCTCCTCTTCTATTCCCTATCTCATGGAATGGTACCACTACCCGCCTAGGAACTCTGCCAGAAACATGGGTGTCATCCTCAGCCCCTCCCTGGACCATTAAGTCTTCTTAATTCTGTATTAGAAATGTTTCTGCAATCCGATCTCTTCTCTCCAGCTCCCTAAGAACCTTAAGCTCTTATGAATTTTTTTTTTAATCAATAGTAACATCTTAGCAAGTCTCCCCTACTCCCAGGCTCTGCCATTTCCAATTCTCTCTTTAGAGGACACCAGACTTAGGGATTTCACTACTGAGAAAAGTTTTAAAAATGCTTTTGAGAACTGACATAGTGTGTGTGGCCTTTAAAAAAAATGTTTTTTTTTGTAAGGGCGCAAAAACCAACATCATCTATTCTCACTGTCATTTCATAACAATAATTTTAAAAGACTGTTCAACTTCAAAAATAGAAAATACTATATTTGGGGAATAGAAAAGTTTTTTAAATATATTTGTCTTTTTAACTGAAAGTTTGCTGGATGGGAATCACTGTTCTAGAATCTAGATTGCAATTAGAGTCATCTTTTGCTAAGCAAAAATGACTAATTTTCCCTAGCTTGAAAATCTATTTGTGTTATATAAACATTTAAATTTACTCACATAATCTACATGCATATTATTTTACTGGCTTTTAATGTATACATAGTATGCATTGTGTTGACATGCTATTGACATGACTGTTGTGGTCTTCTATTTTAGGAATTTTTTTTTAAATATTAAAATTTAAATATTCTTTGTCACATATCACCTTGAAGCCTTACAATAAAAGCCACACTCTTTAGGGTAACGATGAATGTCCTTTACAATCTGGTTTTAATTTACTTACTCCTCAGTAAGAACTTCCCCTAAACATACCCATTCTTTCATGCCTCTGTGCCAGTGGTTCTCAACCAGGAGCAGATCCCTGCCCTCTTCTCCAAGGGGACACTTAGCAATGTCTGTTATGGTCTGAATTGTGTTCCCTCCCAAATTCATATGGTGAAGTCCTAACTATCTATACATTTTAAAATTAACATGTATAATAGCATTTTTTAACCATAGAGATATGAAAAAATACTTAGTATTTCCTTTACTGTCAAGCAATCAAGCTTTCTCAATTTTACCTTTAACATATACCTTGTTAACCCATTCCCAAAGATTATATGTGTGTGCCTTAAAACATTTAGACCATCATATAATCCACGCAAATGCAAAATTTTATAGAACATGGCTTACTTAATAGTAATGTTAGCTAGTATCACTACTGTGTCAGATACTGTACTATCATAAGTGCTTTCCTTCCATTTTGAAATTTAATTTCCATATCCTATGATGTGGTACTATTATTACCCTCATTTTTAAATGAGGAAACTGAAGTTTGGAGAGATTGACTTGTCCAGAGCCATACCATAACCAAGGACATCAAAGAAAATAAGGCTGGTGCTAATTATGTTGCTCATTTTGGAATCAAAATTTTCTCAGCAAAAATACATTTTTTTGGACCAAAAAAAAGTCATATCACAATGCATTGATTTTATAATAGTAAAAGTATCTAAGGGGGAAAAAAACCTGTTTTCATCTGCTAGATTTAACCATCTGAGACAAAACAACTTCATGTAATTAGCTAGAAAAAATATTCTAGCCTATGCTAGTACTGAATTATATTTATTACACATTCTCTTAGATTCTTACTTAGGTTTTTGGTATTTCTCATTCTTTTACTTCATTCAATTTCTTCTTGTAAAGAAAACCAAATTATAAAAATAAGGAGTGTCCTGGGCTGTTATTTTAAGTATAGTTGTTACCTCAAACTCTTCATTATCCTCAAAAATAATCATTCAGCAAATATCTGTTACCATAGTGTTAAGAAATGTATTGTTTTTCACTACAACCTTAAAGTTTTGTTTTTTTTGCTTCTTTACAGGAAAGGGGGAGGAGTACAATCCCTTTGTAGCGAAGAAACAGTAGTTTATTATTGTATTTTAGCATCTTGAATTTTTCACTGAACAAATTTTGACATTGATAATTCTTTAGTTCAACTCATACCTTAAATATCCCTTTGTCAAAATTCATCCATCAAGCCAAGCCTTCAGGTTCTGTGCCCCAGGACCTTGTTTCCTGGGGTGAGTCAAAGTTAGCAGCCATAACCAAAGTGTTCCCAGAACTTAGAGAGGAACTGGGAAGACTCACAACAAAGCTTAAAGGTTTTTTTGATGTAGCAGATCTTCCTTATAAAGATGTTAATAGCTTCTGGCAGTAGCTTTGCACCTCAACATGGGTGAGTCTTGATTCTAAGGTTGACCAGCTACATCCTTGCCCTCAAACTGAAGATCTTATAGACCCTTTAAAAATTCCTCAGCTTTGTGACAGACTAATGTGGCATAGAAAATAATTAATAAATGATGTGAGGATAGTATTAGCACCTCTTTATTTTTTTACATGTTTCATTGAATGCTAAAATTTCTTGTGGGTACAGAGTTGTGTCTTATTCATTTTTGTACCTTCCACCAAGAAAAATCATTTCTAGTCTACTATCAATAAACATTTACTGAACTGATTCGAAACTTCAGTTGGGAAGGCAGAATACAGAATTATTAAACTTTTGGCACCTGATGATTTGAGTTTGGGTTCTAACTCGAATTACTTGCTGTATGACCTGGTGCAAATTACCCAAACTCTCTAACTCCTAATTTCTTCAACTCAAAAGTGGATTTAATGAGATAATGAATGTAAGTACTTGGCACTTCTCAAATGCTATTTATACAAGTATTTACTAAGCTCCTATTACGCGCTAATTTATTGATAGGTTCTGGTGATAAGAGAATAAATTGTGCAGGATTCCTGTCTTCATGGAACTCAAGGTACTGAGAAGGCAAACATAAAAAAAATAATCATATAAGTAAATTAATTACAAATTGCCATGAAGAAAGGGTTAGTAATTCGGTGAGATGTTTTAAGAGCAGAGCCTGATTTAGATTGTTGAGGATGGATTCTCAGAGGTGACATTTAAGCTGAAACTTGAAGGGTGAAGAGATTCTCTATTTCCTCACGTTCCTCAATTCTCTTTAGTCTGGCTTCCATCTGTACACCTAGATATTTCTGGCTAAGGTCACCAACAGCTTCCACGTTACTATATAGATGACATTTTTTCAGTCCTCTTACTTGACTTCTTGGTAGCACTCAACACAATTGATCACTCCCTCTTTGAGACCTGGTCTTCCCTTGGCTTCTCTAATAATAAACGCCTCCGATCTGTTCCTCTTTGCCTCTTCAGGTCCCCTCTTTCAGGTTCATCTCAAGTGCCTGGACGGCCTCGCTGTGTGCTGAAACTGTAAATAATAACGCGGCCTTTTTGAGTCATAAAAAAAGGAATATGTACGAATGAGCACATTTTTTTAGCCCCTTTCCTCGCTTCCGGTACCGCTTTATAGAACAGAATATAAAACTTTTCTGTTCCTACAGAAACGCCCCTCTCTTGCGGACGGCGCCCGTTCACAGGCACAGGCATTCAACTCCACCCTACACGGGCAGATGAGCCCCAGGAACGCTCGAAGTGCGGGACAAGGCGGGTGTCCGCTCTGGCCCCAGGAAACCGCAGCCAGGCCTGCCCGTTTCCACTTCAGGCACCGTGGCGGCGGCGTCGGGCGGAAACAGTCAGTCAACCGTCGGTGCGCGGCCCCTGCAATCGAGTCCTCCGCCGTCCCAGCATTCCCCGCGCCCCACCATTGAGAGCAGCTTCCGGCGTCGCCAGTATAGGTGGGTGAAGGAGGAGCGGGCCCTCGTCGCTCTGTCTCACTCCCTCGCGCTCTCTCGGGCAACATGGCGGGTGTGGAGGAGGCAGCGTCCTCCGGGAGTCACCTGAATGGCGACTTGGATCCTGACGACAGGGAAGAGGGAGCTGCCTCCACAGCTGAGGAGGCAGCCAAGAAAAAGAGACGAAAGAAGAAGAAGAGCAAAGGGGCTGCCACAGGTAAAGGGAGTTTTATGTTTTTCCAGTCACCTCCAAGGATGGCCGAACGGCTCGGCTTAGGCCTAGCGCGGGTGACAGGGGACTGGGGACTCAGGGCTCTAGACTGAACTGATTCCCAGGATTGAGCGTGTGTCAAGGCTGGGCTCAGATTCTCAGTCCCAGGGAAGGGCGACTTCTTGTCCTGTGGGACTAGGGAGCTGGTGGGGGCGGGGTGAGGGAGAAAAGGGTGCCTCGGCTTCTCCTGAAGTAGTTCTGGGGTCAGTACGCCTGAGCCCCTGTATAGCTAGAACTCAGCTCCAACACAGACCTTGCAGTGGATATGAAGCCGTGCACGGAGCCCAGCCCTACCACCTTCCTCGCTGTTTGGCCTCCTCAAAAATCTGGTTCTGACCAATACTGCTGCTGCTTTACAGGAGCATCCAGGAACTTATTTTTCGTCGACGGTGTGGGTGAAATGAGCATGTCCTACTGCCTTGACCGCACCTTCCCCCGCCGTCCCAAGTTCCCGGAGGGATTTTTGTTGCGGGTTGCACTTTTGAGGTCTGTGTATTCCCACACGCTCGTGTCGCTGAGTTGTAATTGCAGAACGTGTGGTGGTGGTGTGGATATATTCACCTGCCTAATCCCACAGCATCATCAAGCGTTAGGGCTTGTAGGCCTAAATTATGCCATTTGAAAGCAATCTGCATCGGGTATTCTGTGAGACTTTTCTAAATCTACTGATAAGGCAAGGAAAACAGCTGAAAATTTATATTTGGATATTATGAGTTAGGAATGTAAATATTTTGAGAAGTTAATATTTTTGTTGCACCAGGTCCTTCATTTTAGGAAAATTCGTACCAGTTTCTAATTCTTCAGTTTGTCCTTTAAAGTGTTCAGACCCTAATATACTTTTAACAGTTGTATTTCTCGACTGTTACACATCTTCTCCGGTAGCCAGAATGTGACTTCATTATGTTCTACCTAGTAATACTATCTCTCTACACACACATATTGCTCCTCTGGCTGAATTGTAATTACTTGCTTAACTGTTTAAGAATTTTGTTTTTGAGTAATGGGATATTTTTTTCTATTTATTTTTATTTACCCAGCCAAGCTTGACAACTTTCTTTATGAATCCCTGAAGCCTCCAGTGTCCCACAGAAATCCTCTTCTTAACTAAGGTTTTCAGCATTTATTGCCTATTTTAAATACCTGTTTAGTAAAGTATTTATTGCAGTGTAAATATTAAAAAGTTTAAACTACTTAAGGATAAGGACCAGTTCACACTTTTATTTATCCTTTAGCTGCCAGCACTGGGAATGTGTAATATTTTGTTGAATGGACAATACTACTTAGATTTGGAAGATTTTTCTCTTCATTAAATAAATTCTATTATGTTCACAATAATGTTTCTGTTTTTGTTTCCTAAACACTTATCAGGAAAAGATATGTGTTCTCCATTATCCTTAGAACATACTCTAGTGAGAAAGTATCTTTATTAGATTTGACTTATGTTTTTATATTCGATCAAGCAGGACAACAAGAACCTGATAAAGAATCAGTAGCCTCAGTTGATGAGGTAGCAAGACAGTTGGAAAGACAAGCTTTGGAAGAGAAAGAAAGAGATGATGACGATGAAGGTAAATGGTTAATTTGATATTTGTGGTTAGAAAAGCAAGAAAATATGACATTCTTCAAACAAAATCTATCCATATAGTCCATTATTCTCTGATGTTTTCGTAATTGACAGTAAAGCTTCAATGTCACAGATAAAAAGGAAAAGATATTTATTAGCAACTCTTAAAAAGGTTGGATATGTGAATGTCTGCTCAGTTATCATAGTTCTCAACTTTTAAAAGTATACTTGGCAAAAGGCCAAGTAATGTGTGAGTATTAATAAGATAAAATAGAAGGATTGTTTATTTAACTTAACTAACATTTATTGAACAACTAGTATGTACTAGGCATTATTCTAGGATATTTTCATATGCATTCTCATTTTACCCTGATAATTATGTGATTTTTCCAAAGTGGCACAGCTAGTATGGTAGAATAGAACCAGAACTTCAAACCTAGCACCTGATTCCAAGTCTATTCCTTTAACTTTCTGTACCAAAGCTGCCTTTATTCTCAAAGGGATGTAGTGGAGTGCTTCTAAACTCTATTACAAATTCTTTGCCTTTAGCTCCTTGTATTTCGATGCTATTAGATTTTCTTCAAGATGGCAACTCTTAGAATTCTAGGAATTGATGACGATATCAGTAATACAGTGGAGGGAGTAATTGGATAAGAAAACTATTATTATTCTACAGTGTCTTTTGGCACAGGGGAAATTGGGCTTTTCCCATTCTCAAGTATCTACTACTGTGTCCTGCTGCTGTTCTACCTCAAGCACTGCCATCTTAGACTAACGCCTTCCAACCTTTATCAACAAATACCTGTTGTACTTTGTTTATTGTGCTAGGATAATGCAGAGTAGTTGTCTTTCCTTTAGAAGATGTTTTCTGCCTTCAAGGAGCTTAGTCAAAATTTGTTGAAAAAGATACCAAAATTCAAGGGAATAATTAGCTTTTCTATTTCCTTAAGCAAAACTCTTATTCATTGTGCCTTTGGTTATGCTTCAGATTATGAACAAGTTTTGAGCTCTTAATAAAGGGGCTTATAAATTCAAGGTAATATAGATTGCTGTAGACCCATAATGTGTAGAATATCAAAGTGTTAATCTTGAGTGTGCCTTGTTTCATTGCACCTCTACAAAGTAGTGTGAATTTCGACATTGAAGGGGAAACTTGCTTGTCATGTTGGAAATCTTCAATGTATTAAAGAAGATTTTAGGAATATTAGTAGTTTTCTCTAATTTTGGCTAATTGTTTTCTTAATTCGTTTCAGTAATCAGGATCAACCAGTACTACTAATCTGTTGTGAGAGGTCTTTGAGGGGATGGAAAGCTAGTATTTCAGAATCTTTATTCTAAAAGAAGACTGATGGTATGATAGACAAAACGTAGAGGTGAAAAGATAAGCTGCAGTAAAGTTTATTGAAATTGAAGATGGAATTGTGAGCTGAATGCTGAAGGAAGGCTCATTGGAAGGAATGGGACTTGAATAAAACCAAACAGAAAAGATCATTTTGGGGTAGAACAATGCTGAGAAGGTATTCAAAGTAGTGAACGGTGCAAACTGGCCATGCTAGATTCATTGAGGGAGCCTTTGAGCATTTTTTTTTTAAAAGAATGTTATGAAAAAATAACAGTGTTCATATATATGTAGATATGCAGGATTGTTATAAAAGAGGAAAGGCAAGGAGATCATTTTGGAGGCCACTTAATAGCCCAAGCATGTGGTAATGACAGTTTAAATTGGTGGGCATAAATGAGAATGGAAAGGAAAGGTCCAATGGAACAGCGGTTGCGGAAGCAGAATTCAGAGGCCTGTGAGACGTTCAATTTGGGGAGAAGGATGAAGGAAAGGCATTAGTAGACTCCAGGGGTTGAATTTGGGTGACAGAATGTTGGTGCTGTTGACTGAAAGTGAAATAGGGCGGGAGATCTGGTTAAGAGATTGGGGGAGGAGACTTGCAGGCAAAGAAGAAAGTATTGAGTTTAATTTTAGATGTGTTTAATTTGAAACTGGAGGTACTGGTGTGGAGTTAATCCTGTGGGTATTTGACAGTGTGCTAGAGGTAATTCATGCAATAAGTTTTAAATCAGGTTTATTAAGGTATACTTTGCCTAGGATAATATTCACCGTTTAAAAAAGTAGACTTCATATTTTAGAGCAGTTTTAGGTCCTCAGCAAAATTGAGCAGAAGGTACAGAGATTTGTCATATACTCCCTACCACCAGGCATTCAGAGCTTCTTTCATTATCAGCGTCCCTCGTGAGAGTGGTACATTTGTTAGAATTGATGAACCTACACAGACACATCGTTATCATGTAAAGTCCATAATTTACATTAGCGTTTACTCTTGATATTATACATTCTACATATTCACACTTTTTAAGTGTATGATGAGTTTTGACAAATTTATGCACTTGTGTAACCACTGCCACAACCAAAATATAGACCACTTACATTTAACATTTCCATCTCCACAAAAAAGTTTCCTTGTGCTCCTTCGTAATCACTTCTCTAGCTCCACTCCCTGACCCCTGGAAACCACTGATACATTATCTGTTTCTTTTCATCATAATCTCATAGAACTAGATTATAGTACACAGCTTTTTTTGTGTCTGGCTTGTTTCTCTCTGTAATACTTTTCAGAGTCATCTGATTGTTGCATATATATCAGCAGTTCATTACTTTTTATTGCTGGGTAGTATTCGAAATTTGTTTATCCATTTACTAGTTGATGGATATTTCCCGTTTTTGTCTATTACTGTGAACATTTGCATACAGGTCTTTGTGTAGGCATATGTTTTCATTTGTCCTGAGTGAATACCAAGGAATAGGGTTGTGATTCATATGTTAAGTGTATATTTCACTGCAAAAGAAACTCAGACTTTTCCAAAGTGTCTGTACCATTTTGCATTCCTGTTAGTAGGGGTGGAGAGTTTCAGGTCCTTTGTATCCTTACAAGCACTTGGTGTAGTTTTAAATTTTTAGCTTTTCTAATAGATGTGTAGTGGTATGTCATGTGGTTTTAATTTGCATTTCCCTAATGACTGATGATGTTGATCAATTTGTCATATTTTTATTTGCCTTTCATATATCTTTGGTGAAGTGTTCACATACTTTGTCCATTTTTCAGTTGGGTTATTTCTTGTCTGAGTTAGAGTAGTTCTTTATATATTCTTGATATATCAAGTTCTTAATCAGATATATGTTTTACAGATATTTTCTCTCATGCTAGCGCTGTTTGGAACAAAAAAGATTTTAATTTTGATGAGGTCCAATTTATCTGTTTATTTCCTTTATGGGTTATGCTTTTTGTGTTCTATCCAAAAAGTTAAGTAATAGCTGTCGTGAAGATTTTATCTTACGTTCTCTTCAAGAAGTTTTGTACATTTTTAGCTGTTAAGTTTAGATCTGTGTTACATTTAGAATTAAGTTTTGTATATAGTGCGTGGTGAGGATTGAAGTACCTTTTCTTGCATATGGATGTCCAGTTGTCATTCAGCAAATATTAATTGATTTGGACACAAATAAATATGAACAGTCTCTGCCTGTTAAGAATATCCTGGGATGCTGTGAAAGAAAGACATGCAGAAACCTAAATTGCAGCATTATGTGATAGGTGGAACTGTAAACATATAGTTTAATATTCAGATCCTGGCTCTACCACCATCCTGGCTCAAGGGTTCAATAAATGGTGGCTATTCTGTACTGAATACAGACCTTGAACATTGGGTAATTAGCCTCAGAAGGATGATTATCAAAAGAAGAGCTTTATTTTAACCCATTTTAAAGATAATGAAACCATGGTAGAGAAAGGCTACATAAGTTACCCAAGGTCACACAGCTGGAAGGAATTTTAGTATATATAAAACAAGTTATACATCTTGAAGCATTTTGGGTTGAGTCTAGTGTATGTAGCAGTATGCTAGACATTGAATGTTCTTCCAGAGCAAAGACTATCTTGTTTACTAATCTGTCCTTATTGCCTGGCACTTAAGAATTTAGCAGACATTTTTTTGGATTAAATGAAGAGGGTTACTGTTAAAATTATAGTGTAGAATATGTGGTAAATTAGATTATATGATACAGGAAAATGAAAATTGTGTTTTCCAAAATTTTTTCATGTTATTTTTGTTAGGCTTTTGAACCTAGAAACCAATAAATCAGCAATATTTGTTTCCACTGTGTTCTTGTTATTTTATAAGATTAAACATAAGAAATTGCAATTTTGTAAATCAAATATTGGCAGTTTCCTATCACTCAACCCATTTAAAGCCATAGGTCATGTTACCTCCCTCTTTGCTAAACTGCTGTTTCCTGTTTCTCATTTAGGTAAAAACAAATAGAAACAAGATAAAATAAACTAAAAGAATATTCATTTATTGACTAGACTTAATATTTGTCATGTGCTTGGCACTATACTTAATTTAAGAAATTGTGTCTAATCCTTGAGGACCTTACAGATGAGTAGGGGTCAGCATAAACTAGTGATTACAATTTTGTGTCATAATTAAAAGAAAATAGTAGGTAGCATGGTGAAAGAATTTCTGTTATGGCACCTGCCTATCAGTCCAGGAATAAAAATGATGCTCTTTGAGCAGTAAATGTAAGCAGTCATTCACTTTGTTTGAGTGTGGATTTCATTATCTAAAATTATTGATGCTAGCCATGAGTTATTGCCGCTAGGTGAAACATATATTTAAAATAATACGTCTACGGCCATGCTGCCCTGAACAAGCCTGACCTTGTCTGATCTCGGAAGCTAAGCAGGGTCAGGCCTGATTAGTAATTGGATGGGAGACTACTTCAGAATACCAGGTGCTGTATGCATTAATATAATAATAATAATAATAATAATAATATTCTATGGTGAGCATACTATTAAACTGTGAACTTCTAATTGAGACAGTATCCTCTTCATCCCTGTTTCATAGCAGTGCAATTTGTGAGTAGATCAGTGTACTTGAGAAATGATTGTTGAAGTTTATTAATTAGCATTTTTAGAAATTCAGACACTTAGGTCTATGTTTGTTAGCTTTATTTAAAATGTTTTAAGTCACTATTCTTGGCCATAATATCCTTTATCTTTTCTCAGAGTTCAAGAGTATGGGTGTGGGCTTCATAGAAAATTATTATAAAAGCACAGGCAGATCATGGCTATTTTGGGTACTCTTTTTACCAACTATTATTTGAAATAGTTCGTAACCCTCATTTTTTGGGCATAGAGAATCTGAGAACTCTGAACCGAAGAAAAATATGTATGTTCCCTTATTTTTGCATACACTTTGCTCTGAAAGAGAACTCTTTCTCTAGTAATAACTATGCAGGAAAAGGTATTTTAAAATATAAGAACCCCCCAAATACCGCACACTGGGTTAAGAATCAGGTGATATCATCTTAGTCCAATTTTGTTGTTTACTGGTTGGAATTACCTTGAGCATGTCCATTAAACACTCCTTTTTAACTTTATAGGGTTGCTTTGAGGATCACATGAGGTCATGAAATGCAAGTATTTAACTGCAAAGCATATGTAAACTATTATTTGAACTCATGCAGACATTATTGGTATTAAACTATCACTAGTTATTTTTCTTAGCTTTTAAAAAAGAATGTTATTCCGTACGTTTTTTATTCTTAAAAATATCTTATTCAACCGTTCTTTGTTAGAGTAAGTCAAAGTAAAGTTTACTGATGCTTTTTATTACACAAGTCAATTGTAATACCTAAAGGTAGCAATATACAAAATTCCAAGAATGTTAGGTCAACTTTGTTATATGCTATTTAAGATGCTGTGTGTGTGTGCGTGTGTGTGCGTGTGTGTTTACATACCTGTCCACTTGCGCTTGTTTCGTCCCTCTGCTTATGAGATTTAAATGAATACTTGAAATTGTCTTTTCTCAGATGGAGATGGTGATGGAGATGGAGCAACTGGAAAGAAGAAGAAAAAGAAGAAGAAGAAGAGAGGACGTTAGTGTCTTAAGTTAATCTTACTTGACAAATTACAAGCAGTTATTAACCAGTAGGTTTGAAGAGTGGGTTTGAAGTTGCTTAAGATCCTGGTATATGTCAGGGAAATAAATTTAGGCTTGATAGAGGTAAAATTTAGTGAAATTCATAACTACTTTTCAGGTAATTTGGTTTTACAATCTTGGTGGCTTTTTTTTTTTTTTTTAAGCTGTTGTTCAGCTAAGGAATGTTAATTGGTTGGTTACGTTTTACTGCAAGATTGGAATGAGTTCCTAAAAACTATAATTTAAAACCTGAGTAATTCAAATAATTCTGTTGGGGATGACTACAGTGCCACCATGTGGTAATAGGGTGAACAAAGTTTGTAGTTCACTTGCCAGCTTTGAAATTATAAGATTCTCGATGAATATTTAATGAGTCTATTATTTAAACTTTGTGCATATGATGAAATTTTATTAATAATGTTTATATTGCACTATTTCACATTCACTTATAATACGATCTTGCTTGTGTTTTGTTTCTACAAATGGCATAACCAAATAACTTCAGGGACCTGAAACTCTATCAGGGAAACTAAGGGGAGACCGTATAGTCTTGGGGAATAATGGTTAGGTTGAGAATCAGAACAAATTCTAATCTCGGGTGCCCGTGCACTACTGGGGGACACTAAATTCTGGTTATATCTTCCTTTAAAACCTTTCAGGCTAAAATTTTATTAATCAGAATATTGGGGGTTGCTGTCTGTTTTTATCTCTGTGTTGAAAGGAATACTTAAATTATTTTTTAAGAAAGATGTTGGCTCTTCCAACCATTCTCCTGGTATGTCTCTAGGTAGAGGTGGGATAGTCTTTCTTTTCAAGCATTCTTGTTATTCTTTTTCTCTTGGGATGTCAGTTCTGCCCCAGCATAGTCTGTATTTAATGAGCATAGGTTACTTGTATTCCAGGAATCTTCTAGGGATTATGATGTCATATTTTTTCCATTCAGAAATAGTTAGAAAGTATACCTGTGAGACTTGGTATTATCTGAGAATGGCTTAAGAGATACCTAGTTCTCTACTCAAAAATAGCTCACTAATGAAGATAGATAAGCAGGGAGCAGTGTTAAGGACTTACTTTGTATTTGCTCTTGGTAGGATTCTTCCACAGACAGATGTTTTAGTGTGATGCCATCAGCCTTTATTGTACTTCCTCTGAGGATCAATGTACTGTTTATTATTATATTTATTTATAAGTACTCTCAAGAGACATTCTTTTTTCTGGTCTTAGTATCAAGAATAATTGTGCTTTTCCGAGTAGTTATTGTGTTTTATCTCAGAAACATCATGAACTATGTAAATAACCTAGGTTTTTGTTTTCTTGGCTACTAGGGAGCTTAGAGCCAAATCTGTGGTTTGTACTAGCCTTATTTCAGGTTTTATTTTATGTTCTTTCCATTTTTGCTCTCTAATTTACTTTGAACATCTCTTATTTGTGTATTTTAGATATCCTTATAGGCTATCACAAATCACTTCTGGAATAAGCCAAATAATGTACATGGGCAGTTCACTGTCCTCTTTTTCCTCATTTATAGAGTGAGAGAATTATAAATAATAGTTAATGATAATTGCAATACAGATTATTATAATTGATAATTGGATGTAGTACATTAATAATTTTCAAAGATTATTCAAAATTTCATCTGGTTCTTTATTTTGTAGATGAGGAAACAGGTTTGGCATATTAGCCATTTGTCCAAGTCACAGCTAATAAGTGATAAAGGCTAGACTTCAACTCTGATGTTTTGATTACAGATTATTTTTTCTCTAATGCTCTTTTGGAGTTCTTTGTCTTAATAATTTGTGGACAATATAAAGGCATCTTTGTCAGATTTGTAGATGAGATAAAGCTGAGAGTGATAATACTTTGGTTGACAAATATTAATATTTCAAAAGATCAGAAAAATAGACAATTGGCTGATATTAACAAGCTGAAATTTAATAAACATGTAAAGTTAGTACAGGGTGTTAGGATTCTAAGGATTTAAGCGCTAGTACAATGTGAACCAAAAAGCAAGAAGTCTTAATGTTTTTTGTTTTTTTTTTTTACACCTACAGGACCTGGTCTTCCTAGGTGGTCTCCCATCCAAGTACTAACCAGGCCCGACCCTGCTTAGCTTCTGAGATGAGACGGGATCAGGCATGTTTAGGGTGGCATGGCCATAGACTTAATTTTTCAATAGCAATAGGATTTTTAGAATCAACAGCAGTGTAGTCTTATATTAATTATACCTTGTTTGGTCTATTAGTATAGTCAGTTTTAGTGTCAACTTAAGAGGAACATTGACAGTTCAAGGTGGCAAATAAAGTGAAAGCGTTAACCATATCCTTTAAAGTAGTTTCTCATTATAGAAAGGAAGGAATTAGTAGAAATGAAAAGTAAAATTTCTTAACTGCAAAGAATCAAGCTAGAACTAACAGATGAAAGTAACAGGGAAAGATTTAATGTAGGAAGAACTTTCTAACAGCTATAGCTCTTGGGAGATAGTGACTGCCTCCATTGTCAGGAGCTCAGTACCAGATGTAAGGGGTATAAAACAGGGAATTCTAGGTTGAGTATGAAGCTAAATTAGATGACCTCTAAGATCTTTTTTGATTTTAAATTCTAATATTCTCTCTTAGGAGGAATCTAAAACAGTGTTTTCCAAGTTTACTTACCCATAGAACACTTTTAAACATTGTATACAGAGAGAAAACCATTTGGTGCTTACGATTCTGAGCATTTGGATTAAAGAGAGGAAACCAAAAAATGGTTTCATAGATAAATGATTTGGCTCAATAAACACATTTATATTTATATACATCCTTTTTTTCCCCATTGCAGAACAAAAAGCACAATATGTGTTAAAATTTAAGACAAAAATTGATTACAGGAC